AATGAAAGAGGGAAGCGGCTGCCCAGGTGCAACTCTCAATGGGAGCCTGCCGCTAATGCAGGGGGGGGGGGGGGGGTGAGTGTGTGTGTGGGGGGCGGGGGGGGTACTGGACTTGCACCATGGTGCGTTCAAGGGCAAAAAACCCGCCCACAGAGCTGATTCTGAATCGGGTCCAGAGCTGCTGTGGTTTAGATGGGGTGAGGAGAGTGGGGCTGGGGGGGGGGGGGGGGGGGCAGGCTTTGGGTGGGCCTTCGGTGCCACTAAACCCTCTGTAACTCACTCTATCCGCACAAACGTGAGCAACTTTCTGCGTCCCGGCCAAGTCTGGACCCCCGTACGAACAATGGGTTGCCACGGCGACGGCCCCATTGCCCCTGAGGAGGATAGTGTAGGGGGGGAAAAAGTTCCTGTTTCTGATGTTTCTCTGACTTGGCTGAAATGGAAATAATGTAGCTAAAAAGGACTATTTCTGTGTCTTTTTTTCCAGTTTTTTGTGTTAACTCGAGTTTGTTGGTCCCCTCCTTTTTTTTTTTTTTTTTTTTTTTTTTTTTTTTTTTGTGTGACTAATCAGTGAGTGAGCAGAGGGAATGAGCTCAGCTGTGGGCGGGTGGATGTGGGAGTGAAGGCCACCGGTGGGTGCAGCCGGCTACGAGATGTGACACACACACACACACACACACACACACACACGCGCAGGTGTTGCATCACAACCTCTGAGAAATGACACAGAAACACAAAAAAAAAAGGTGATGAGGGTTGAAGGCTTCGAAGATGACTGAGCTCAGAGATCAGAAATGTGCTAATGGGGATGTCACAGCCACTCCTCTGGATATTACACCACCTCCAGTGTGTGAGTCTGTGTAGTATTGTGTGTGTAGTATTGTGTCACTCCCGTAAACCCGGGCTGCTGGAACATGTTCGGCTGCAGCTTTTGGCTGGTGTCGGAGCGGATGGCAGCTTTTCTCACGCTGTGAGAAAAGGGGGGGGCGGCGGCGGTATCTGCTGAGCTCGGCACAGACGGATAAACTCGCTACTCTGTTTGCTCTCGCATGAGGAGCCCTAAAATCCCCGGATGGAGCGGGTCCCTCAAAGCTCCCGCCGATGGCCTTTGTGGGTCCTCTGTGTCATTAGTTGTCTTCTCACAGATTTATGACGCAAAATATAGTTTTAAAATGAAGGATTTTAGGTGTTCATGAACAGATGACGTCTCTTTTTGACGTAAAAGTTCAGATAAATGTAGCAAAAGTTGCCGAAATGTGCCCACCGGCCAGTTATCTGGTCGTAGATTTGGGTGCTAAGATATAATTCAATAGCACCAAGTCAGTTCTTATATCTGCTGCAGGTAAAAAATAAAAATTCTGAAAGGATTTGGCTTTATAAAATGTTTTCATATATACTCTCAATTGCTGTTGGGGTTTTTGGATCTCTGGAAAAGTCTCATCTGTCAAAGAAGCATCTTGTTCTCGTTAAAATCATCTGGCTCCCAGCTGCGTGTGATCCTTTTTTTTTTTTTTCTTTTTGTTTTGTTTGGAGGACAAGCATGTGAATGGCTGCGATTTGTCATATTTCATCATTACATCAAACTAGTTGTGCCTTCAGCCGTGTGGCACGGCTCCAGCTCAGAGAGTCTGAGGAAACCCGGTCCGCTGTGTCTTTAGCTGGGAAACGGGCCTTTACCAAAGGAACAACTCAGAAAAATCCATGCAGCATTCAAAGAAAAGGGAGATTCTGTGGTGAATTTCGTCCGTTTTGAGCTCCAACCACGTGGTTCTCTGATGGTGTGTTCCTGGAGAATAAAAACGATTGTTTCGTCTGCTCTGAACTTGGTGTCCTTCAGCCATAGATTGGCTAATATTTCCTTTTCTTTGTTTGTTTGTGTGTGTGAGAGAGGCACCAGCTGCTTTGTAGAGGTCTGATTTAAGGAGGAATTTTTACCAGCAGCTCTTTTCTTCAACAAAACAACACTTGAGACTTTAATATTTTACTTTTTAATATAAACTTTAAATGCACTGAGCTCTAAATATCGACGTGGGTGGTAAAGGAGCATATTAATATCTGATCTTTAAAAGTTCGGTTTGATAAATGGCTTATCGAGTGGCAGCTCTCTCCAGGTCAGAACATCCCAATGAAATTAGAAAAATCCCTTTAATTAAAGCTTACAGATTTAATGACTGAATGGACCCGTTTAGATTCAGATCCTCCTTATAGCGCGATTCTTTGTTCAATTTTTGTTGTCTCTGTCTCCATCAGACTCCAAAGCCATAGTAGATGGGAACCTGAAACTGATCCTGGGTCTGATCTGGACCCTGATTCTGCACTACTCCATTTCCATGCCCGTCTGGGAGGGTGAGGATGAAGAGGTAAGAGGCCCAAAAAAAACTCATCAGCTTCATGTCATGTGAATTTTGTCAAAAAAAAAAAAAACGATCCAAAAGAAAACAACAAAACTGCTAAAAAATGACTGTGTTCTTTTGCATTCAGGCGGAGTCGAAGACGCCTAAACAGCGACTGCTGGGCTGGATTCAGAACAAAGTTCCCGACATGCCGATCAACAACTTCAGCCAGGACTGGCGGGACGGGAAGGCTCTGGGGGCTCTGGTGGACAGCTGCGCTCCAGGTATCTGGCGAGGGGGCGGAGCCAGAGTGGGGGGGCGGAGCCAGCCGCCGTCCGGCCCTCTGAGGGTCTTTTTGGGTGGATTTAACCTCAATCCAGCCGCAAGCATTTTTAAACCCAGAGATAAACGTGTAGATTGTTATACAAAGGTCAGACCACCATGTTTTATGTTTTTAGATAAAAGGCCAAAGCTGTGAAACAAAATCAGGGCAAGATATACGTTTTCCACTTTTTCTATTTTTGTAATGTCTTTTCCTACATTTTCTGCCAAGTTCAGAACTTTTTATTTGGTAACAAAGTTGATGGAACTTGATGGAAGATCTGAGTCTAAACATTAAATCTGCAAACTGGAAAGAAACCTAGTATAAAAATTATTTGTATATGAACAATTAAATATCGAGTATTTTTCTACCTTAAAATGTCTTTTAAAGCGTATAAAACGCTTGAAGACCTCAATCCAGCCCCAAGCCTTTGCTAAACCCAGAGATAAACATGTAGATTGTTACACAATGGTAAGACCACCA